ATTCTGGGAGTTGAAGTCCACTCATCTTAAAGTGGCCAAGTTTGGACAACACTGACTTAGATAGTCTTTCACCAGGATGATTTGCAGAAGGCCCTCCTCCCTTTTTCCTGCTCCTCAAGGAACAGGTGACAATTGCACCTGCCTTGTGTGGCAATTGCACCCATTTTTATTTACTTTATTTATTTATACATCACATTTATATAGCCACCCATCTCACAAAGCAACTCTGGGCGGTGTACAACAATTAAAATAAAATAACAAATAAATAAAAACAGGCATTACAAAAGATAAAACATTATCAGAATAAAAACATCATCACAAATTTTAAAAAAGATTTTAAAAAGCTTTTAAAATATACAAACCCCACAGAGAGAGGAGAACATCAATTACAGTGGCGCCATCTAAGAATGTCTCCAGTTCCCAAAGACCCCCAAGCCTGATGACAGAACCAGGTCCTGAGGGACTTCCTAAAAGACAGCAGGGAAGGGGCGAACCTCGCTTCAGGGGGGAAAAGGTTCCACAAGGAGGAAGCCATGGCAGAGAAGGGACCCACCAAATGCAAGTCCTTGGCCAATGGAACACAGCATATCTTCCCTACTGGATCTAATGGGACAGGCTGATGTGATCAGGGAGAGGTGGTCCTTCAGATAACCCGGCCCCATGCTATGAAGGGCTTTAAAGGTCAAAATCAGCACCTTGAATTGGACCTGGAAGCAAACCGGCAACCAGTGCAGCTCATGAAGCAGAGGTGTAGTATGTACTCTTCTAGGAGCACACATAACTGCCCACGCTGCCGCATTCTGCACCAGGTGAAGCTTCTGGATATTTTTCAAGGGCAGCCCCATGTACAGCACATTACAGTAGTCTAGTCTGGAGGTGACTAGGGTGTGATGACTGTGAACAGAACCTCCCGATCCAGGAAAGGGTGCAATTGGCACACAACACAGAGTTATGCGAAGGCCCTCCTGGCCACGACTGCCACCTGCTCTTCGAGCAGGAGTCGCAAGTCTAGGAGGACCCCCAAATTGCACACTGGGGCTGTCCGGGGCAGTGCCACCCCATCCAGCATCAAAGATGGTATTGTCCCAGAACTGGCAGAACCCTGAATCCAAAGTCTTGCCAGGGTTCAGTTGAAGCCTCTTGTTCCCCACCCAGACCCTCACAGCCTCCAGACACCGGGATAAGGCGTCCACAGCATCACTTGTTTTGTCAGGGCAGAGATGTATAGTTGGGTGTGATCTGAATATTGATGATACCTCACCCCATGGCAATGGATGAGCTCACCCAGTGGCCTCATGTAGATATTAAATAGGAGGGGGGAGAGTACCGAACCCTGAAGCCCTGCAGATAACAGGGGCCAAGGGTGGGATCTCTCTTCCCCAACCACCACTGACTGGAATCGGCCCTGGAGGAAGGAGGTGAACCATCACAACACAGTACCGCCCACCCCCAATCCCCTGAGCCAATCCAGAAGGATACCATAGTCGATGGTATCAAAAGCTGCTGAGAGGTCAAGTAGGGCGAGGATGGATGCACAACCTCCATCCCCGGCAGGCTTAGCCCATGAACGACAACGAGGCAGTCCAGTCCAATATAGTTCCTTTATTAGCTTGCACCTAATGGACAGAGTCTCACCAGACTAAACTTATGCTAAAGCAACTAGTGGCTATACCCCGTGAAACTCTAGGGAGGGGCCAGTCTCAGCTTCTTCACCTTCTCACGGTCCTGCTGCGGGCTGAGG